TTTAATGGCATTAAATTTGGCTAATTTCAGTCTTCTACCTTATTCTGTCACTTGCGCTAGTTTAGACGGCCACAAGAATCAGTTGGCCCCTAGGCACCAATTTTCTTAGAAACCTGTAGTTTTTTTTGCTTGATACCCTGAAGCGGTATCACTGTTCAAATCTCCCAATGTCAAAACCTGTAACAGGAGTAACTACACTAGATCACAGAAGGAAAGGGCTCTCGGAATCTGCAACTGCGGAGACAAATTATGATTATCGCAAAAAAAACTCACTTCCTCTAGATGAATATCACACGCCAAAGAAGCTTATCCTTCATACCGGTCTAACCGTCAAAGCTACATCTGCAGCTGTAAGTTGTCTTTCTAGCGTTTATATTTTAAAAATTTTACGGATGTGGTTTTTAAAAACTTTTCTCAATAAATTTTTGCCTCTAAATTTAATCTGGTTGACCGGAAAGCATAAGGATAGTTGCATATAAATTACTAAAAGTATGCGATAATAATGAAAGTCATTAGTTTGTCTTCAAAAGCTTCTGGCTTAATGCTGTGCAGTGAAGCAAGTGACATCTGAAATTACCGGGTGCTTAGGAGTTTGCTTCCGTAGTGTCGAAGGATATAGCAGTTACAACTGTGTCTGGTGAACGCTCTGAAAGTCATGCTTTGGAATCTCGAGTACTGTTGCTGTATACGGGAGGGACTATTGGAATGAAGTTGTGTGGCAATGGTAAAGTCAACTTTTTGTAAAGCTTCTATCATAATTTATATGAACAGAGTTGTTTGTGGTGTAATAATTTCTTACTAAAATTTTATAGTAGTTTCAAGTTTTTACTATAATACGGTCTTTAAAGAACAAATTTTTAGTGTACGCGCCAGTAGCGTACTATTTGCCAGAAGCAATCCGTCAGCTGCCTCCCTTAAATGACGTTGATTATATCAAGAAAAATTATGGTGATGCTAAAGTGAAACCGTTCTGTTTGCCCCCAGTCCGTGACATTAAAAAGAGGATAGTATATTGGGTAAGGATCCACACTTTATAGGATGTTTTTGGATTTGTGTTTTATCAGCCACTTATTGTCAAGGTGCTGGGAGAGAGGAGAACTGTTGCACTTTGTCTGTTTTAGATTTTATAGTTACAAATAGTTTTGAAGGTTAGGCCATGTTGTCATCTTAATATGCCTTATTGTGATGCACTTTTGATGTAACTCAAAATGTTGCTGTGGGTTAATGTTTCATGCGAATTACACCATTCTTCCAGGTTTTGGAATACGACCCCTTATTAGATTCATCTGATATGACATTTGACGACTGGATTCGTATCGGGACAGATATCAAAAAGGCCTATAACCATTATGATGGGTTCGTTGTTCTTCATGGCACCGACACATTGGCTTATACAGCATCTGCTCTATCATTTATGCTTGAAAATTTGGGGAAACCTATTGTTATCACGGGAGCTCAAGTAACTGTTGCATATAGTTTTTTGATGTAACGGCACTGGCACTTAAAATAAACTTGATTTTTGACACACTAAGATTCATTCAGATCCCGGTTTGCGAAGTTAGATCAGACGGCCGTGAAAATTTGGTTGGGGCATTGATGGTTGCAGGGAATTATGATATTCCAGAAGTATGTGTTTATTTTAACAATCGTCTGTTGAGAGGAAATCGGACCCGAAAAGTAGATGCTTCTGGACTCGAAGCATTTAATAGCCCAAACATGTCGCCACTCGCTACCATGGATATCAGTATCAACGGTATTGAGAACTTCTTGCCTTGTTTATTATTTGCTGTCAAACTCTCTTGATAAAGTAGAGTTTATTTTATTGTAGTTACAGAAGTAAGGGTTCAAAACCACTTTCAAGACTTGAATTAATTTCCTGTCCAGAGGGTCTGCAAATTTTTTATCATACTTTTTAGTGAATTATGATGCAATTATTCGGCCTGCTTCGGCAGCACCATTCACCGTATTTGATAAGTTGTGTAGGAACGTTGGTCTTTTGCGGATATTCCCTTCAATTTCAATTAATTCTGTACGTTTCTTTCGGAATTCAATTGCTTGAAGACTTTAAAGTACATTTTACATTAAATTTATTATCTTTATTAAGAACTGCTATAATTAGTGTGCTATAGGTCCGAGCAGTTTTGCAACCTCCAACACAGGGTGTGGTATTGCAAAGTTTCGGTGCTGGAAATATGCCGTCAAAAAGAGAAGATATCATTGCTGAAATCAAAAAAGCAATCGATCGAGGCTGTATAATCATCAATTGTACACAGTGCTTGAAAGGGCAGGTTGATGTGCAATATCTTACTGGAAAGGTAGGTAGCAATTATCGGGATCGTCTTTTTCTAAGATTTTGAACGCACTGATAATATCCTACAGATGATCTTCTGAATTTTTCGCTGCTGTAAACTGATAATTATTTTGGATGTGTTTTTAGATCTTGTATGACATTGGAGTCATTCCTGGGTCCGATATGACTCCAGAGGCCGCGTTGACGAAGCTGTCATACGTGCTCTCTAAAGACTGGGATATAGAAAAAAAGAGACAGATGATGCAGGAAAGTTTACGAGGAGAAATTACTGTTTACAAGCATTCATTGCAATTCCCTGATGTTAGTAAGTTTTTTATCTTTGAGACGCCTTCGGTAATTTCACTGTGACTTTTTCTTCTCAAATAAGCGTTTTAGGAATGCTGAGATAATGATGTCGGAATTTTGCTAGGCAGCCTGTTGTTAAGGCGGTGAGGACAATCGTAAACCTCCGCCTCATTCTTTTTAAAGCAAAATTTAAGGTCTTTTACATTCTCAACGAAAAACTGTTCGGTAATATTTAAGTTTAGTTCCAATGGGAAATTGTTAGGTATAAGTTGGTGCGTATGCTTTCAAACCCCTTGGAGTCTTAAAGTTAGCGTTCCCTTTAAAAATCTTAAGTTTCTAGAGTTCTGAAGTTGTTAATACTGGCGGCTTCGTAATGTAGCTAATTTAATGGAATTTTCAGTCCCAAGGTTGGCGAAGTTCTTGCATCTGGATTCATCCAAAGAAGTCAAGAAGTTGAGCAATAGTTTATTTCCTACATTACTTTGTTATGCTGCGCGAACTAACGATCTGAACTTAGTTGGAATCTTAGCTCAGTATGGTGCCAAACCCTCGATACCTGATTACAATGGGCGAACACCTCTTCATGTTGCAGCAAGTTTGGGACATATTGAGCTTTTAAAGTACTTTATAGAAAATGGAGCAGATGTCGATGCTCGGTCAGTGACAGTTTCGGGATTGATAAGTTCAATCATAAATATATTTATTGATAGTTGTAGACACTAGAATTGAACCTTTTCATCCAAAGCTTGTTCTTAGCGGGAACTTCTTTTATTAACAGAGATCATCGTGGTGAGAACCCTTTGATGTGTGCTGTTCGTGGAAACAGGCTTGATTGCATCGCAGAACTGCGGAGAGCAGGAGGAGCTATTTCGTTAACTGCCACCGAAATAGGTGAGGAATTGGTGGTAGAATGGTAGATTATTAAGTGGTTTCTTTTTCAATACCAAATTAACATTGTTTTGCCACATACTACATACTTTTTAAGTGGGCAAAGTACAGCTTTTTCACTGCAGTCGTCGGTGATTATAAAATCTTTTCTTGCTAATTCTTTAGTATCTTCATCTTGCTTGAACATTTGTTTTAGGTACCCAGTTATGTTATTTAGCTAGTAAAGGCGATATTGAAGCTTTGGATTCTTGGATCGCTGCTGGTGCTGACTTGAATTACGTTGATTATGATGGCCGATCGCCATTGCATGTAGTATGTCAATAAACTGTCGTCTTCACTCTTTGAATTTTGTTCCTAGGAATAGAAAAGTTTTCTTTGAAATTCTTCTGTTTAATGTCTCGTAGTGTCGCTCTTAACTCTTCGTTTCTTAGGCTGTTGCTAAAAAAAACACTGAATGCGTTTCTTTCCTTCTGGATCACGGTGCTGACACTACATTAACTGACCGTAATGGACAAAGTCCACTTCAAGAAGCAGAAAAAAAAGGGCCAGAAGTTATTATTAGTTTGCTTAAAGCAAAGAGTGAACAGCGAGGTAATATACGATTTATTGTTGGTTCTTCACCCCATATTGACACCTTGGTTTCTCCTCCATAGAGCTAGAAATTGTTCGTTTTTCGTTTATTTATTGAAACTAAGTGTAGTATATGTATCTAATGTATCGGTGGCATTTTTAGAAATTGTTTTTTCAAGGGGAATTTGTTTAAATTTTAAGATTTATTTCTTAATTTGATGCATCATCCAAATTTCCGGCAATTTTACAGGCACTACTTAAAGTTTTCAATAAACATACTGTAGTGGCTTGATAGATATAGACTCGCCTTCAAATTTGACGGTTACCGTCTTTTTTTTAAATATTGATTAGCTTTCTGTTGGAAATCTTAGTCACAACCTTCGCAAAGGCCATGGATTTCTTTCACCCCTTCTGACAGTCAAAAGTATGGGTGACTATATTTCTAACTTTTACAAAGTCTGCTGTTTGAAGCTTGCTATGTTGAACACTTTTAGTTTGCTTGATGCATAAGCTGTTGAAACTATAATTTTTCCAATGTACTAGCTGTTTGGTTGTCTTAAGAACCCAGAATTATTTGTATATATACCTTCTCACTGCTTTTTTTTATTTTTTGTCGTATCCATAAATTTCTTCACTGTTTTAACTGATGCAACTTGAGTCCCTACAAAGTGCTGATGACGTGTATATTGTTTTCTGTGATAACTTTGCTTTAGAGACGTTGTCGCCGGAAAGGCAAGGTGGCAAAATGTTATCTTGAACTTGTTCTTATTTGTGGTGAGAATGTTTCTTGGGTGCCCAGTAAAGAATTTTTCCCTTTCTGGACAAAAAATACGACTAAAATTCGATAGTTGGAAAACAACAAATGAAGGCAATGAGTGTTTGTAGAGTGAAGGTAATTCCCCATAAATAGCCTACGATGCCTCGTCCGCTACTGTACTAATGGTGACATCGGTTCTTCTTTCCGCTTGAGTGCCTCAAAAAGCTGTACAGCACGGTGGAGCGAGACTGCGAGAGGTCGTACCTCGCCCTTTTAAGCAGATGGCTTCCCGACGACTATAATAACTTATCACTTCACTAAAATGAAGTGGTTCATTCTACAGGTCGCTGAAATTGACACAGGTCCACTAAAACTTAACCGGGTTGTGAAATGCTGAGAAAAAAAGATTCAACTTTTTATTGACAACTCGACAACTGAAACCACAGTAAGATCACTTGATTAATTTAGAAAAAAATAAATTTTCGTGTTTCAATTTGGAAATGCTGCAATGTCTGGTTTCAAAAACATAAAAGCAAGAGAGGTACTCCCGCAAAAGAAAGACAAATCAACATCATAAGTAAAGGCTGATGAAAGAACTTCAAAGTTAAATATATGTCGTCTCACTATAAATAACACAGTAAACTAAATACACAGTATTTTACAAACAGTTTATCAAACTTTACAATACTTTGTTTTGAAACTTATTTTCACGCGGCAAAACAGCAAACTGAGAGGCGTGTTTAGCTTCTTCTATCTCTTCCTTACCAAAGAGATTATTGAATAGACGGACGTAATGATCATACTGCTCTACTGAAAAAACCATTTGCAGGTAACTTCAAAATACTTGAATAAATCAAAGCCTAAAATGCGAAACCTTCTTACACAAGAGAATAACAAGAAAAAATAGCTCAATGACTTTTACAAAAAGAAAAAAAAGAAAAGCTAATAATCAGTCCCAAATTTTACAAGGGTAGATTCACAGGTGATAGATGGCTCCTGAAACTAGACTTACTGTTGAGAAGGTTATGATTACGTAGCTTTACAAGTTTCTGGAAATAAGTAAACACTGCATATTGAACCTGGCGGTTTCCTTTCCAAGCACATTCCAATAATTTTAGACAGCTAACTCTGTCAATGGATGAAGTTGCCTCAAGATACCTGAATGTCGTTTCCGATTCAGAAAAATTAGCAAAATGATTACCAGAAAAAGTGGCACCATTATCTAGTTCAAAAACAAAAAAGTACTAGCCCTGAGAGTTACAAATAATAGATAAATTTGTACGTGTACAAACATATACATATAGCTGGTCTTAAATGATAGTTAAATATTTTTGTTGAGTTCTCGTTCCAAGTACGTCAAATGTGCAATTATCTGTTGTGATTCACCTATTATATTACCAATTAGAACTCTTACCAGCTACTGAAATGTGTTAAAAATGTGAATAAAAGTTAACAAAATTATTTATACCAATAAAGTTCAGTGAATAACGAAAAGCAAGGAGTAGTACTACATGAGCTTCAACATCTAAGGTCTGTAATAACAAATGAGGTACTGGTACTGAAAAAGGCAACATATAAAGTTAAGTAGTACCTGATGGCTTCTACAACATGCCCCTTGCTTAAAAGCACTTCAACGATTTCTTCAGCTGCAGTTCCTAGCCTTGCGAGCATGTCAACAGCGAGCTGTATCAAAGGAGCGTGCTTTGCTTCATGTGAAAGAAGAAAAAACGCCTGCAATTCAAAAAAACGACTAAATAAATAAACAAAAAATGGAACTTAAATGGAGAGGAAATCTCTACTTTCATCTATTAAGAAAAATACAGAGAAGGTGATAAAAATTACCAGTTGTTTAGCATCAGGAATGACTCGATACTGCAACAGCTGTTGAAGACAGTTAAATTCGCTAGAAGAGACTATTGTTGGTACCAATACTTCATTCAAAAAGAACGGCTAAATCGGAATAAAAATAAGGGAAATAACTTTATCCAAATAAAAATTTATTAGAAGAAAAAATTAACAAAATTATAAGTTAGAAATCAGTGCTTTAATATCCCTACCAAAACGTCAATATTGTTCTCTTGCAACCCTTGAAGGTACTGAAGCATACAATGCATCAGAAATGGTTTATTAGACGAGCTAGTTTCAACAGCAGGTAGAAAAACGACCCCAACCAGATCGTTCTGGTCGACCAACAAAGGCTCGTACAGTTCAGCAACTAATGCGTACTTCGTACCACTTTCTAAAAAAACATTACACCGAGCGGCACAACTTCACAAATACATTACTGTTCATACAGAAAAAAAATATAGTTTTACCCCAACCACACCACTCGCACATTCTTTAAAACTTACCATTACTTTTATTATTGCACTGTGTATTGGCGAAAGAGCTAAATACCCATGAAAAAACCGTTCCGACTTCCTTTAGTGACAGCGCTTTCGCGATAAGCAAAGAGTGGAGACGTTTCAAAAACAGGGACTTTGTTCCAGAACGATTGAACAAAAAGTGAAGATATATCAACTTAAACAAAAAAAAATTACTCGAGAAACAATGTAAACATATCCTACTTTTTCAACGACCCTCACTGGCTGCACCAATAACTTTATAAGCAGCTTTATAGATAGCAAAAGAGAATCTATACTGTTATTAACATTTCAAAAGAAAATTTGAATATTCTATCATTACAATCAAAACTGTACTATATTTTTTGTTGAAAAATTGCTAAAAACAGAAAATTGACCTGATCTTTTATAAAAATTTCGCTCTCTTCTGGATGTAAAGAAATGGATGCGAATAAGCCAGCGCTGGTATCAATGACAATATTTTGCGGAAACATGACCCAACAGGGACTGTACAGAGGAATCTCACTTGCGTAGCCATTTTTCAAACTCTGAGTCAGCGAAAGTGAAACGGCAGCAAACGGTTTGTGGCTGCAAACCCCTGATGTTATACCTTCTTGTAAACGAATGTCAAAAAGCAGAGAAGTGCTGGATACCTGAAAACTGTTACACAATACTGCTGTGAAAATCATATCTACAATTAAAAAATAATTATTTTTAAGGGAACAAAAATTGAAAGATGATAACTCAAGAAAAAACCCTCTGTTAAAAAAATTAAAACACAAAAACTTCATGAGCACTGTTTAATTTCATGCTTTGAAAATAAAATCCTGTCCGTTGCGATAATGACAGTTACCTGATGATGGACAATAATTACGTTATCTACAACGTGTATTGCAAAGGGACCTGTCAAGCCGAGAGATAAGGTGTGAGCTAGGCTCGATTTTTCACCGTTATCACCGGCAACTTTGTACATAGATACATCTAAAACGCTTGAGTCCCTCATACTATAACGAAATACCATAACGTATAATACGCCATATCTGTAAATAAAATCAGCTTACAGGAGCCATCTTTCGTTAGCTGAAAAATCAACTATTCCTTAAAAGAAATTGCAGAAACAATGCAAAAAATTGTTTTGAAAAAGTAATCTCAAATTTATTAGCAGGTTAAAGTAAAAAATAAGAAAACCAACATCGAAGCAACCGAAACGTCGCGTTTGGAAAGAATAGATTTTGCATTCGAGCAACCAAAGTCGACATCAAATTCTTCCAGCCGATAGATATTGTTGCTCTAAAAGGTTGGTTACTGAGTTCACCAAAATAGTCGGAGAGTAAAGTTGAAATGAAGAGGAGAAACCTGGACCAAAAACGGTGTAAAACGTGACCCAGACACACCACTTGAAACGATTAAGAGCTGAGATTTGGCCTAAAAACCAATTAATATCACCAACAATGTTTAGAGTTTTGTGACTTACACGGTAGTTCACCGCTACCTCCAAAATCCTCTACGTTTTCAAAACCATTAAGAGAATGCCAGCAGCGTTATTCATAAAATCAGTTTCGGATTTACATAAACAGATTACCTCTACAAAACCTACAAACTCTGTTTATTTTTTAATTATCTAATAATAGGAATATCTAGAAAAGAAAAATTACATAGGAAGAATAAGACCACTATTTTTCAAAAAAATAAACATCATACTTCTAAAAATCGCAAAGGGCCCTAACCCTAAACATTCATGAGATGAAATTTGAATCTCCAGATACCGTAAACAGTTTAAGGATGCTTCAATCGCAGTAAAAAACTTTTTTGCATCTCACTGAAACCAGTTAAATATCAAAAAGTGAAATATGGACGGCCAAATGGACAAGGAATGGAAAGGAGAATATGACGAAGGAGACTGCAGCTCAAGAAAAAGAAATGAGAAGCCATTACCCAAATATAAAGTTGAGGATGAAAAACCTTACAGCAAAACAAAGAAAAACACTTACGTAATATACAGTCCAATAGAGAGAAATGTTGCAGGTTTTTAAAAGCTTTGCATTCTTTTTAGTGGGGTTAATTAAGTACAACTCCAAACCCTGTAATTTCTTTGATTAACTGTGAAGCAAGGTCAAAATTTACAAATAATTCATTAACAACTTACTTGATTAGTAACAAAAAGAATCTGATTGTTCGAAATCCATTCTAAGCCTACTACTCGTGCTGTACGGAGTTTTGGCGATTGCGAAAAGGTTCCTGTAACAGTTCCATCACCCGTAGGAGAAAAGCAAATAAACTCCTGAAAAAATCTGAATAACAGATAAAGAGACACAGTCCAAAACGCTTCAATTCAGCAGACATACAATTTGCGAAGTTTCCCGCTGTATACTGATTAGACGACCATCATTTGAAAGTTTAATCACTTTGACTTTCCCGCTGTCGTTAATGCTGAAACATCAATTGTCTAAGTCACACAAAATCATCATTACATCTGCCGGCAAAAACAAATCCGGAAAATCTTAAATTGACATATTTTTGTAAGAGTTACCAGAAGGTTAAGTCATCTTCAGATTTAAATCCTTTGACAATTACATCTTTGCCTCCAGTTTCGCTAATTGCACATATCTGAAATCGAGATTCTATGGAGCTCAAATATAAAGAATTTCGGAATTCATGGAAAGTGCCAGGAAAAACTTCCATATCGAACAGCAACAATAAATCTTTTTTCTCTAGGTAACTGATCCTGTTTGCAGTGAGCGACAATACAAAAAAAATATAAACCAAGTCATTAATATGATCACCTTCTGATTGCCATTATCATAAAAGACAGTAGAAGGCACACTGTTTGCGTCAAATGTTGTCCATTGTTCACCGAGTTTCAACATCTGGACTTTTGTTACACGCCACAACTGATGATACAACCATCCGCATTAGTCCATGAAGAAGCTGTTAAAAAAAGCACATTATGAAAAAAAGAAGTGGTATTTTGAAAATCTAAAGCGTACGTTTTGGATTTGAGGAAAGTGTCCTTCAAACGCTATACAAATTTCCGCATGCACCTATTCGACTAATCAACAGTGTAGGAAACAAACAGTTATCCAAGAAATTTAAGCAATTATACAGTTACGGAAAGACGGGACCTCACTAACGACTAACACTATGCACTAGGCAACCTTATTTAAAGGGGCTAAACCAAAATTAAAGGAATTGACACTGAGCCAATTCAGCGAAGTAACGGAGAAAAAAAACGCGCTTAAACACTGTTAAGTGTAAAGTTCGGTGCACACTGATAAATATCGGCCGCCATTCAACACAACTTTAAAAGTTGAAGCCACAACAGTTGTTTTTAGAAACCGAGCACATAATCAGCAGTAACTGTGTTGAATTCTTCGGCAGTCAAGTTTGTTTCTTGAATTAATGGGAACTCAATGCATCCATTAGATTCATCACTTAACACCACCTGTGATTCTTTAAACTTCCTGCTGCAAATACCATTTTATCACTGCTGCAGTTGCGTTATCAGGTTTTCTGCTTAGACCTGGAACTAGAAGAATAGTTAAGTTTCGTCAAAAAATTTCTGAATACTTATATGCTTTGAGAAATGCATCAAAAGCATTGACACTTTCCTTCTTGCTGTTCACATTTATTTCTGTGCTTCATAATGATAGACTACTTCAGCACACTCATTTCAGTTGTTAAAATTTGTCAAATAATTTCTATATGTTCTTTCTAAACCCACGAAGTGTATAAATACCAACTTAATCACAACTATGCATATATAATTATGGCATGTTCTGCTCTCTTAGATTTTTTAGGGTTATAAAAGCACTTTTAAAACCAGAACACCGGAATGAAAACTGGGTAATGACTGGAATTTGTGAGACTGGAAGTCTGAACAGAAACATTCATTTGCCTATGGGAAGTATGAGAACTATAAATGGAAGAAATTTAGGCATTTATTATGCAGTAGAAACCCGGTAGTATTTGCTTGTATATGAAACGCAGAAAGAGAACAGATTATTAAGTAGCTCTGGAAAGTCAAGAAGTGCTGATGAGAAAGGTAGCTAAGAAAAGTACATTTTTTGGAAGTAAACCGATGCCTGATAGCAGCCACTTAATTGAAGTTTTTGGCCTAGGACAGGGCGACATCGGACATTGACCGTTAAGTTTCCCAAGCACCTTATTTTGAAGATGACTTGGTGTTTCCTGAACCCTTAGGTGTAAATTGTAGTAAGCAGCAGGAAGTGCTTGAAGCAAACTTTTGTTTGCCTTACAGAAGATGAAGGCAACGAATGATTATTTTTGAGGTTCTTGAAAATTTTTTGCTTCTTATTCTCGCTTTAGGGACAGTTATGTAACTCGGATTCGAGAGTGCCTCCTCTAACTTATTTTTCAAATAATTTTGGTCTTCAGTTACATCATGCTGTTTTTTGAGAGTTGCGAGTGTTAATCTTGATCATTATATTTTAATTTTTATGTTTTGCGAAAAATTTGAACTTTCTTCTCGAATGACCAGCTTGACTGCAATGTTTCAAATGTAGTATAAAGGTCGAACCTTGCAAGAGTTGAAGATGCAGAATGCAACAGGAATAGTTTGGCTGTGTTAGAGGAGTGTACAGATATCTGCAATGTCGGGATTTTGTAGAAGAATGAAATAAAAAGAAAACTCGCTAGAGTTTTAG